ATCCTGTCTGACTAGGTACTAATTCCTCATGTCATCGTTCAACCAAAGGGATTGACATGGCAAGAGGCAGAGAGGCACATGTGCCAACAGCATCAGTGGAAAAAGAAGGCAAGATATAAGAGGAAATATATACTGCAGACATGGATATGAGAATGTTAAAAAATAATAAATCACTTAAAATATATTTAAAAATATATTTTTGATGATTTCATTGCTAAAGCAGATGAAATAGAGAAATAAAGGAGTTGGTAATTCTGATTACATACTAGTTAATTTTCTGATCGCTTTGGTGAGATCCCTGACAGCCACAACAAATGGGAGAAGGATTTCTTCCAGCTCGATGTATGACGGTGGAGAAGGCATTATGGCTTGGGTGGCTCTGTTCGGGGCAGATGTCTTGTCAGGTCAGAAAGCCCAAAGATCAAGTCTGTCAAAACGAGCAGTGGGTATCACCTAAAAGGCCTGTCCTCCATGGGAAGTTGGCTTGTTAAACCACACTCCCAAAGATTCCAAAACTTCCTAAAATATCACCATTAGCTGGGTACCAAGTGTTCAAACACACAAGCCTGTGGGCGACATTTCATATTCAAGCCATAATACCTAATAATAGAAATTTCCCAAAACATAATTAAAAGAGGGAAGCTAATAAAAAAGAACACAAAGGGGATAATTTTAAAATGTAGAATCTGGGCATAATTAGAATACCAAAGGAAGGATAAAAAAATGAAGAAACCAACAGGGAAAAAAAAAACCAAGACTACAATGTTCAAGAATTTTCCGAGGTCAACAGTACAAACTAAATAGAGATGCCAATAATTCACAAAACTTCACTTCAATTAAGCACTGTCATAGTTATCTTTGTCACCACTGTGACAACACAGGGTAGGAGCAAAGCAAGGGCAGAAAGCCCAGCTCTACTCAAAGTTTCAAAGCGTTTCATTCCACGGTGATGGAGAATTCATCAGCCCATTCATTGACTGGACGACATGGGTCTTTTGGTGTTTAGTTTTTCACAGTTCTGTGTATATTTAGATATTAAGTTCCATGTCTAAAGTGTAGTCAGAAAAGGTGATATTTATTTGGGATCAAATATTGTGATACCTCCAGCATTGTTCCTTCTGCTAAAGATTGCTTTTGCTGTCTGGGGCCTTTTGTTATTCCACACACATTTTGAGGTTATTTTCTGTTTGTGAAAAAAAACTCACTGGAATTTTGATGGGGATTGTGTTGAATCTGCAGACAACTTTTGGTAAAATAACCATTTCACAGTAATTCTGCAGGAGCATGGACCGTCTGTCCATCATCCAGTATCCTTTTTGGTTTTCTTTTAAGGGTGTCTTGAGGCTCTCTTTCTTTGTGCAAGTCTTTTACTTCTTTGCTTACATTTATTCCTAGACATTTTACTTTTATTCCCATGAAGCAGAGTGGAACTTTTCCTTGTTTTGTTGTTGTTGATAATTTTTTTTGTAATCTCAATGAGTTTGTAGAGAAAGGCTACTGGTTTTTGCATGTTTGTCTGTACCCTGATACTCTGTTGAAAGGTCTTATTCATTCTAAGACTTTTCTGATGGAGCCTTTAGGGTCTTTGAAGAATAATAGCATGCTGTTTGCAAATAGGGATACTTTGACATCTTCCCTTCCTATTTTTATCCCCTTCATTTCTCTATTGATGTAGCTGAGCACTATGCTGAATAAGCAAAGTGGGTGTGCTAAAAGATATTGTAAGGAATCCTCCAGGGAGAAGGAAAATGATATGGGTCAGAAACTCAGACTTACAGGAAGACATAAAGAGCATAAGCGTAAATAAGTGTGTGTGGTGGTGGGGGAATTAATTAACCCAATAAATAATGACTGGTTAGAAGAACAGCTTTGCATTTGATAAGAATAAATAAATAAAAGTCTCAGGCAGAGAGAGATTAAGAAAGCTTTGCTGTAAGCTACTCAAATCATCCATGAAACAGGACAGTGTTGTTTGAAAACAAATTAGATGTCATTGTAAATGAACATTGCATGCACAAGAGCAACCACTAGAGGACTGTGGGCGATGAGAGACTATAACCAAAATAATAAGGAAAGAGAGAAAGTAGACTCGTAGGAAATACATAATTGATGCTGCAGAAAGTACTGGGGGTGTGGCCCAATGGTAGAATAAGTGTTCAACATGCATAAAGCCCTAGTTTTGACTTGTAGCCAAACAACCTAAATAAATACATAGATAGATAGATAGATGATAGATAGATAGATAGATAGATTATACCCCCAAAAAAGCTAGAAAACAAATGTAGACCAAGTAAAGACGAGTAACAAAAGAAGTGGCTTGTAGCTCAAACAAATGCGTTGAAAATTAATTGCTGATGATATACATAAGCCAATTAAAAGGCTCACCATCAAAGTACAATGGAAAGACCCTGCCCTGTGCTATCTAAAAGAAACTAACTTCAAACATAAAGAAACATACAGAATAATAGCAAGGGAATAGATAAGGTTATGTCACACCAGTACTAAGCAATTGTGTTTCAGTCAACACCAGCAGGATAGCCACCTTGTTCTCCAGGTCTTGTGAAGTGCTAACAGGGGTAAGAACATTCTAGATCACAAAGCATACCATACCATATTGTAAAACTGAAGTTACATATCTGCTCCTTGAGCACAATGAAATTCAGCTGGAACTTAGCATCAGGAAGAGAAGTGGAAACCCCCCAAATACTTGAAAGTTAAACAATGCAGTTCTAAGTATCACATGGGACCAAGAACTCTCAAGAGTAAGTGAAAGATATTGTGAAATAACAAACAGGAAAATACGATCTGGGGACATTGGTGGGAAGCAGCGAAAGCTGGGAAGCTTCTTGAACTGAATTCATCAGCTAAGGAAGAATGCTCTAAAGTCAGGAACTTGAGTTTCTGATGAAGATGAAATTTTGTAAAATCGAGAAAAAAAGACACAGTAAAAATAAAAACAAAAGGCAATGAAATTAAGTAAAGCCACTGACAGATAAAATCGACACAACCAAAAGATTATCCTATGAGAAAGGAAAGATTCTAGTCAAGGTAAGAAGAAGAAAAAAAAAACCGGAGAGAAGTCACAGGTGGCAGATATCAGGAATGAAAGCAAAGCCATCTCTATTTTATGGGTATTAAAATGGCAATAAAAATACTTTGCATAGCTACATGAAAAAGGATAATTTATTGAAAGAAACAAACTGTCAAGCTGTCTTCAACACAAATAAAAGATCAACCAGAGGCCTAAACATTAAAGAAGTTGGATGTATTTCAGCAGAGAATTAGCAAGGCTTTAATTAAAGGCACAGATCATTTGTATTGGCACTCACAAAATGAAAGAGTTGGATATAAATCTAATGAGACATTTAGAAGATCTAAGCGAGGGGTAGCACAAAACTGATGAAAAAATCAAAGAAAGGAAACATGTTCAAATCCCATGGGAAGACTAGGTATCGCCATGACACCAGCCAGCTGTCCTCAGTTTGAAATACAGGTGCAGGACAATCCCAAAGAAACTCCAGTATTTGATCTTGAGGACATTCGCAGAAAGACAGCACAGTACTGAAGAAGAAAATGGCTAAGTATGATGTTACAGTAACGGAGGCAGTGTGTAAACCATGAAGAAACAGACCCAGGACAAGACAGAAAGGCTGGAAACGGAGCCTCCGGAAAATACAGTCTGAGAGGAGCAGACAACACAGTGTGGTAAAGCTGGCCTTCAGTAACCAGGAGAATCCCACGCCTACAGGCACAAAGGAGCCTGCACACGACCCTCTGCACACTCCAGAGGGAGCACTGACCTGAGTGCAAATGCAAGTTACAAAATGCTGGGAGACTGGGAGACTACACAGGACTAAACACACAGGCCATGGGGCTGCAGGTGACTTTTTGGGGGAGAACACCACTGGTATAGTTTGTGAAAAGAATAATTGATAAGCTACACTTGAGTGATATTTAAAAACCCTAATCTCTGTGTGTCCACTATTCAAATCAACTTCCATTTGTTCTAAATTAGTCATTTCTATTGCAAAGTTTTGAGTTTTAAAATTTTCCTCTGCCCGGGAAGAGGACAGCATTGGCTATCCAAACCCAAAGGATCAGCCCCTGAGAGCACACAGACAAATAATATTATATAGACTGAGCAGGCTGCTCTTATGCATTTAGGAATATGTATGTGTATACATATATGTATGTAACAATGAGTAATAAAAATAGAATTTGAAAAAGAGTAAGGAAGGGCATGGGAAGCGATTGGGGGAAAGAAAAGGAAGGAAAAATGGTTTCATTACATCATAATTTAAAAAACAAAAGAAGTAACTATATACACATACATATGTATACATATGTAAGTATATGTATATAAAATATATATAATATACAGTCCTTTGTGAGGCATGTACTTGCTGATATTTTCTTTAACATCCATGCGTTGTCTCTTCACGCACTTGAATTCTTATGGGCATTGGCATATGAAAGGGCAATAGAGACCACATATCACTAAAGAGTTGTAAGTAAGGGGCTATATCAGTGCTAAAATGCTTGCTGGCAAGCTTTATGAACTGCGTTTAATCTTTATCATTTATATGGCAGGAGACAGTCATCCTACAATTGACTCTGGCCTACTCACATGCACCATGATGAGTGAATACATGCACAAGAACACACACACACACAAATAAATAAATAAATGTTTTAAAAAACACCAGATGCAAACAACAGCAAAGGTTAAAAAACATAGAATACCATACTGGCAGGTAATTGTTCACAGGTATTCAAAACAGTACATTCACTTTGAAGAGAATTTTTTTTTTACAAAACTGAAAGCACTTTTGGTGTTGGATCAAGTGATCCTGTACCTAATGCATACCAAAAAAAAAACTTAAAACATTTTTGTTCACACAAAACTTGCATGCAGAATTTTATTGCAGTACCTTTTCAAACTTGAGGTTCTATCAGTTATTTTTTTCATTGCCATTACCAAATATTTAACAGAAAAGCAATTTCTGGTAGAAAGGGTTTATTTTGTGGTGTGGTTTGAAGGCACAGTCCACCGTGGCCAAGTCAGTAGAGAGTATGTGGCTGGACATCGCCACAGGTTGGGGAACCAGAGGGAGAATAAACCACTCAGTTGGCTTTCTTCTTTTTCCCTTTTTGTTCAGTCCAAGATGCACTCCCTCTGGGATGGTGGTGCCCACACTCAGGGCACGCCCTTTGTTCTTCAGTTAATCCTGTCTGGTGTTCTTATAGATACACTCAAAGGCGTGCCTAAGGCCGAGCATTCCTTAGTCCAGTGGGCCTGATAATGGGAATTAACAATCGCAGCAGCTTGGATATCCTGTAATGAAAGAATGGATAAGCGTGGTAGCATATAGCCAGTCAGTGGAATATTACGCGATGCTAAAAAGAAGCGAGCTGCCACGCATGAAAAGACCTGAAATAACCTTCATGCGTGACTAAGTGAGAGAACCAAGTCTGAAGTCCCACACAGACTAATTCAACCCACTGATAGCATACAGACAGCTTATGGAGCCCATGCTTGTGAGCAGCTTCTATATGGGGAAGGGATGAGTAGGCAGAGGTAAGGGGGGCCATGAAGATGCTCTTCGTGATTCATCATCATTTGTCAAAACCCAAGAGACCTGCTTTGGCAGCGCAATGACAGCAGGCTAGCTGGACTCAAGACTAAGTGCTTATAATGCCGAACTGGGATTCTGGCATCTCTCCTTTGCCAAGAAAAACCCATGGCCTGGCAGGTTACAGGAGAGGAGGAGTATGAACAGCAAGGGAGAGCTACCCCAGCCTCATCCACACAGCTGAGCTCAGCATTTATGTCTTACCTGAAGATGCAAGTTTGCCCAGTGTCCGCAGAGCTATGCCGGTGAAGCCAGTCTAGGCCAGTCAGCGCTCCGCTGGGTCACAGGTATATGGACTCATTGAGATCATACTCTCCATCACTGAAAGTTTCGGCAGTGTGTTATACAAGCAGCAACCAACCAAGAAGAGGTAGTGTGTGTGTGTGTGTGTGTGTGTGTGTGTGTGTGTGTGTGTGTGTGTGAGGGAGGGTTACTAAGACAAAACTTACACTGTGAGTTTGGTTGGAGACCCAGAAGTCAGTGAGAAAACTCTGGCCTGGAGTTTGGAAATGGTGGTTACTTAGCAAAGCTGGAGCCTGCTGTAAATTGGAATGGGATTCCCCTGTGCATAATCTCATAAGCAGTGTCTGCTTCCGTACACTCACAGGCGATAGATAGTGAAACATCAGCATTTAGCAATTGCACACACCTGTGATCACGCCAGGGGAATCTACTCCACTGCTTCCACGTTCTTCCAGTATCCGTGCTTTCACAGTAAATATTTCACATCTGTTTGATGGAACTATTCTATGACAGTTGTGTTTCTAGTGGTAAGATAAATGCCTTATGATTATGATTAAGATTATTATTATTATTATCATTATTCGCTTCCTTTAACCTTTCTACCATTCATCCTGTTCTCCCATCTGTTGCTGACACAAACACAGCTTGCTTCAGATGTCATGTGGGTGTGCTAAGTGGCCTCAGCAAATGCAGCCATCTAATGGTCGATGCTGATGGTGGTGACATGCTTGTTATTATAATTCTGGTAACTGGGGATAGTTAGGTTATGTGCTGTCTTTTGCAATGTTCTTTGCTTCCTTTTCTTACCTAGTGGAACAGGCTTCCAAACATGATGAACGTGCTGCTACAAAAGACAAGGGAACAATTTAGAAGCCAACGCTAAAGCTTCATCATTAGAGAATTCCATATCCAAGCTCAAGCCCATTTGCTCTGCATTTTCTCTGCTTCTTAAAAACCCTCTTACTTAACACATCTTCCTTCGATAACCTGTGTCATCCACACAGTCCTGTGGCTTGATCAAGAGATGGCCGTGAATTACCGATTGCAACATTAAATGAGCCAGATCCCAAAGAGCACAGAGAGAGCTACAGAGAAAACAGACAAAACAACGATTAAAAAAGACCCAAAAACCATGCATTCCTAATCAAATTCTGAGCACCAGCTACCAGGCTAGACTTTTTTTCCCCAACAAATCCTTGGATAAGTCATAAGGATTAATGTAAAGAAATATTCTTTCTTCAAGGATGCTAAGCCATGAGACATTTATTTTTAAAAATCTACTTTGCTGTGTTATTCTTCAAGGATGTTATGACATGCAAAAGGAAAATCCTATAACCGGTCTGTGGAAAAACTGTACATTTAAAAGAATAAAACCCATCTGGAGTTTAGTGCATTCATTCTCTCTTGCCAAGTTTAATGTCACCATAATACTAATGAAAATTAACTTCTAAAGGTAGTTTCCACAATGGCTAACATCTGCTCGCTGCACACGAAGCACCAACATGTGACCAACATCACTGAGATATTTTCTTCCCAGGTAATTTTATTCTTTATGATAAATACCATGCATTGGATATCTAAGTATTACATTTGTAATATTTTTCATGAAGAAATTTATCAGCAAAAAAATTCTTTTAGACTAGGATCCAAGTTGATTGAGAAACTGAGAACATTTTGTACAGAAGATTTTTCCAACTATGTATTATTAGATTCAAGTTCTCATCAGAAGCCTGTCTTCAGGATAAAGCAGCAAAGGTTTTGTTTTCCCCATCTTTCCCACTTCAGAGTTATGGGTCTCAGGACTGAAGCTACAAGACAAGCATGAAGAAGCTAATCCAGAGCCTGTATTCTTAGCTTAGAAACAGAAGGGGGTCACCGTGTTCTCATGCCTGCTCCAGACAGAATGGGAGATGGGGTAATGGCAGCCTTCAGGCCAAATCCACTAGAGAGGGATAGACTGAAGCCTGGCAGGAAAATGTGGTTTTTTCTACTGAATATAAAAAACAACGGACAACAGCGATGGTGGTAGAAGAAACAAGAAAATGCCATCGGCAGTCAACAGCCACAGCTCTCCTTTCCTGCCTGGAGGCTGCAGAGCACGTGGCTGCAAGCCTCTTCCACACCATAGGCTGAGATTCTCCATGTCCTTCCTGGGATGGGCAGGCAGGACTAGAAGAAGATTGTAAGCAGCAGAAATGGTTGGTGACACAGTTTCTTTGTCATTGCCACCTAGGACACTCCTTCCCACAGACTCTGAAGCACATAGCAACCCCGTTTGGAAAGTCCCACCACACTGCTCCCTGCTAAAAAAGACACCTAAGATGCCAGCTCACTTAGGGGAAACCCCTTTGGCCCACTTAGGTTGAATAGTACCACACAAACCAAGACTATAAAGGTCTCTGGAAGGGCTCTGAAAAGGAATTGCCGCCTCCTGAGGCTTGAGGCCAGGACACAGGGAACCCTTGCCAGCGGAAGAGCCCATTCAGAGTCTGCCGGGGTCCTAGTCGGGGACTGCACATGGGGGAACCTGTCTGGGTGGATCAGCCCATCCAGAGTCTGCTGAAGTAGAAGTACTAGTCCCACATCCGCCCAATGGAAGAGGCTCTTTGAATGAGCCTGATGCCTGCCCACCTTCCGCTGCCCTGCTCAGAGCCTCCTGAGGCTTGGGGCCTGCACATGGGGAGCTATCCATGCAGAGTCTGCCAAATTTAAGGTTCTAGTCCCACCTCCACCCATGGAAAGAGGAGAGCCATCAGAGCACTGGACCCACTTGTACCCACCCAAAGAGAACCTTAGTCTCATACCCATCAGGAGAGGGAGATACCCCACCTATACCCACTGTAAGAAGGGATGGGAAGACTATAGTATAAGAACACAATCAACAACAGAAAGAACCATATAACACAACAAGAGTCTAGGGACTCCACACCAGCAAGATCTGAACATCACAACACAGATGAAGCAGAAGAGGATGACCCTAAAAACAACTTTATGAAGATGACAGAGATGCTCAAAGAGGTAATGAGAAAATCCCTTAAAGAAATGAAGAAAAACAAAACAAAAAAATCAAGAAATGGAGGAAAAGACAAGCAAAAAATTGCAAGAAACAAGTCAAACAGTGCAAGGTTTGAAAGGTGAAATAGAGACACACACACACACACACACACACACACACACACACAGTCTTAGGGAATGCTGAAAATAGAAAATCTGGGTAAACGATCATGAACTACAAATGCAAGGATAACCAACAGAATACAAGAGATGGAAGAGAGAATCTCAGACATTGAAGATACACTAGGGGAAATGCATTCATCGACCAAAGAAAATCTTAACTCCAATAAATCCCTAACACAAAATATTCAGGACATATGGGACACTGAAAAGACCAAACCTAAGAATAATAGGTATAGAAGAAGGAGAAGAAACCTACCCCAAAGGTACAGAAAACGTATTCAACAAAAATCATTGAAGAAAAATTTCCCAACTTAAAGAAGGACATGCCAATGAAAGTACAAGAAGCTTACAGAACACCAAATAGAGTGGACCTCAAAAAAGTCCCTTCTCCACATAATAATCAAAACACCAAATGTGAAGAATAAAGACAGAATATTAAGAGCAGGAAAGGAAAAAGACCAAGTAACATACAAAGGCAAACCTATCAGAATTACAGCTGACTTCTCTATGGAAACTCTGAAAGGCAGAAGGTCCTGGATAGATATTCTATAAACACTAAGAGACCACTGATGCCAGCCCAGACTGCTATACCCAGAAAAGCTTTCAATCACTATAGATGGAGAAAACAAGATATTCCATGACAAAACCAGATTCACGTAATACATACCCACAAATCCAGCCCTACAGAAAGTTCTAGAAGGAAAACTGCAACCCAAGGAAGTTAACTACACTCACAACAATATAGGAAATAGATAATCCCACTTTACCAACAGCCAAAAGAAAAAAGAGAGGGGGGACAAACACACAATACCATCACCACCAACAGATCCAAAACAAACAAGAATTAACAATCAGTGATCACAAATAATTCTCAGTGTTAATGGTCTTAACTCAAAAACCAAGTGGGTATAGCAATCCTAAATCTAACAAATTACACTTTTAATTAACTTAAAATCAATCCAAAGAGATAAAGAATGTTATTTTATATTCATCACAGGAGAAATGATGAAGTCTCAATTCTGAACATCTACGGCCCAAATACAAAAACATCCACATGTGTAATAGAAACGTTACTAAAACTCAAATCACAATAAAACCTCACACACTTGTAGTAGGAGACTTCAACACCCCACTCTCATCACTAAACAGGACCACTAGACAGAAACTTAACAAAGAAACAAAGCAGAAGTTATGACCCATTTGGGTTTAACACACACACACACACACACACATATATATATGTATATATATATATATATATATATATATATATATAACTTTCCATCCAAACACAAAAGAATATACCTTCTTAGCGCCACATGGAACCTTCTCTAAAATGGACCACATACTCGGCAACATAGCAAACCTCGACAGATACAAAAAATTGTACTAACCCTCTGTATCTTATCAGGTCACCATGCTTTAAAGTTAGAATTCAACAACACTACAAAGTATAGAAACCCTAAAAACTCATGGAAATTGAATAATGAACAATTGCACCATTCCTAGGTAAAGGAGGAAATAAAAAAAGTAAAGACTTCCTAGAATTCAATGAGAACGAAGAACATACACAAACTTATGGGACACTTTGAAAGAAGTGCTAAGAGTAAAGTTCATAGAACTAAGTGCCCACATGAAGAAACTGGAGAATAGTCACACTAGAGAATTAACAGCAAACTAGAAGCTCTAGAAAAAAAGGAAGCAAATTCACCCCAGAGGAGTAGATGCCAGGACATAATCAAATTGAGGACTGAAATCAATAAAGTAGAAACTATTGAAACAATACAAAGAATCAATGTACATAGTTGGATTTCGAGAAAATCAACAAAATAGACAAACTCTTTATACAAACTTACCAAAAGGCAAAGAGAGAAAATACAACATAACAAAATCAGAAATGAAAAGGGGGACATGGCAATGGACACTGAGGAAATCCAGAGAATCATCAGTACATATTTGAAAACCTGTACTCCACAAAATTCAAAAATGTAAAGGAAATGGACAATTTTATAGATAATATCACTTACCAAAATTAAATCAAGAAGAGACAAGCAATTTAAATAGACCTATAACCACTAGTGAAATAGAAGCAGTCATCAAGAGTCTCCCAACCAAAAAAAAAAAAGCCCAGAGTTTCCGTGCAGGATTCTACCAGAAATTCAAAGAACAGCTAGTACCAATTTGCCTCAAAGTGCTCCACACAATAGAAGCAGAAGGGTCACTGCCAAGCTCTTTTTATGAGGCTATGATTACCTTGGTACCCAAGCCACACAAAGGCACAATTAAGAGAACTACAGCCCAATATCCCTCATGAACACTGATACAAAAATACTCAATAAAATACTGGCAAATAAAATCCAAGAACACATCACAAAAGTCATCCACCATGATCAAGTAGGCTTCATCTTAGGGATGCAGGGATGGTTCAATATAAGAAAAATCCATCAATGTAATCCACCATATAAACAAGCTGAGGAACAAAAATCACATGATCATCTCACTAGATGCTGAAAAAGCCTTTGATAAAATCTAACACCCCTTCATGATAAAGGTCTGGGAGTGATCAAGGATAACAGGAACATACATAAACATAATAAAAGCTATATACAGCAAACCACAGCCAACATCAAAATAAATGGAGAGAAAATGTGATTCCTCTAAAATCAGGAACAACACAAGGCTGTCCACTCTCTCCATAACTCTTCAATATTGTACTTGAAGTTCCAGCTAGAGCAATAAGACAACAAAAGGAGATTAAGGGGATAAAAATTGGAAAGGAAGAAGTCAAATTTTCACTATTTGCAGATGATATGATAGTTTACATAAGTGACCCGAAAAACTCTACCAGGGAACTCCTACAGCTGATAAACACCTTCAGCAAAGTGTCAGGATATAATATTA